TTGGTAATACAAAAGTGGAAAATTAAGTTTTTCATGCAGTTATTGGATAATAGTTGTTTGAGTTTACCGAGTTTGTGATTGCTGATTTCCGGATAGGATGACGTGAGTTCGCGAAAAAGTAATTGAGCACGTTGTGATGTTTAAAGTGCGTTTAATATATAAAAAAGATATCACCTTTACAGAAGTCGATTGCCTAAATACAATGGTTAAAACACGCGTCTCTGAGTTAAACCAGAGTTTTACAGAACGTGATTGTTCAAATGATGATTACGATGTTATTGATCGTGCCCGTTACGCGAGAGTGTGATTTGAACCGACCGAGATTCACAAGGATTCGGCCCGTGAAATTATATTAATCACACGGAATGTGATTTTGATTGTTACAAAGCGATCACTCAAAGAGTGTGAGAGTAGCAAGATCGCGAGTACAAGAGATTTTAGAATGAATCCGGACACGTCCGCACTGATTGGCACCACAACGAACAGTAAGAATCGTTGGCCGTGATAAATGGCTAATCCTTCTTCCTGCGCAATCGATATTAGTAGCGCGTAGTGCGCATTGACGTGATCCATCGTGATTGGTGCGATCGATCCTCGCATCGATCGCGATGATTCTAGGGACTTTCATGCGAGTGCACCTTTGGTTGTATACCATGAAGACTCTTTCTCAAACAATAGTTTTAAATTCTGATATTTGCTACTATTACAGTCTACTTTAATACATAGCCATGCTGAGAATAAAATGGCAACACCGCGGGGGTCCGAATTTCGTGAAGTGCAACCACAGCTGACTCTTCGACTCTTTTCGTGCGACCACAGTTGGCTGTGGTTGCACTACACGAAATCTGAACTCTCGCGGTGTTGCCATTTTATTCTCAGCATGGCTATGTATTAAAGTAGGCTGTAATAGTAGCAATGTCGTTCATATTATTTATAAATTGAAGAATGTCACATACGAGGTACAGACGTATCACTTTACTATCTACTTAATACGCATGAGGTGCATGTGTCTTCGTACGAATTGGAATATTCCTTCCTGGAAAGATTGACGGTCTCATTAGTCGCCAGGAATTCGAAGATACGTGAATCCGTCTTGATTCCTTATTTTCTTTTTCTTCTCAAATCTTTTGTGAATAAATTCAGTTCTTTTGTCATATCAAATTGAGAAATAAGTACTTTCCCATTTTTACGACGAATTTGCATTATAGTATGATCATTTTCTTCACGCGCGGTATGTAAGTACTTCTTTCATATCTATCTATCTTTATTGATCACGTTGTACTTTTTCTTTATCTTTATCTACTTGTGAGATCTCCACTGGCAATTGTAGGTGGTAAGGAACGAGTAGTGCCGTGGACATTTAACCGAGGGTAGGGTACAGTAGCTCTGTTGCAACGTCGCCTAATTTATGACGCCTTCAAGTGTGTCCGCAGGCACTTTTCCTACTCGTAACTCGCCTCTGGCCTCGCAATGATTTTGTTCAACGAGCATTTTCGACATTTAGGAATTTCGATTCCCTTATGTCTTGTACTATGTAAATATT